TTAATGAGTTTTAAAGATCAATCTAAACAGATGGTTGAAGATACCAACAAGCGTTGTGAGGGATATCATCCGGTGTTACAAAACCCCTGGATGATGACTTTCAATACTATTGATAGAGGCAACCAGAGTGGCGAACAAAAATGTACAAACGTGAAACTAGAGACATCGAGTAACAACAAGGAAGAGAATAATGTAGAAACTCCCAACCAGATCGACCCTGCAAAACCAGCTTCCGTTTATAGAAAGGATGATTCATCTAAAGGTGAATCTGACCAAACAAACCGTGAAACAATTGAACCAGATTCAAAACGTGGTGCGGTCACATCGGCGAAGCCCTCTGATAGGGAAACCAATGAAGAAGTATTACTTACTGTTTCAATAGGCAATAGTGAACTCTCGGAATTCTCCACTGAAGAGACCGTCTGTCCAAGTGCCGTCATACCAGACAAACCATTCGGAGAATCACGCCAGCTCCAAGTACAACCAATGCAAGAACAGACCATCCATGATGCTCAGATGAAACATCTTCTTGATTCCATTCATGATCAAACCACAATAGAAAGTGATTTCTCTGATGATGTGAGTGGTGATTATTGTAACCACTCGGAAATGACACAAGATGTTCACATAATTAAGACTCTGCATGTGTCTTCACGAACAGATTCACCAGTTACACAACGAAAAGATAATCCACCCGAGGAAAAGGTTACTTTGTTGAACAAAAGAGATAGACTTATGAAACCGTTGATGAAAAACATCATAAATGCTTCAAAAGAAAGTTCAACAAAAGCAGTAAATGCCGATAATGTTGACGGGAAAATTCAGTCGGAAAGTTGTACTTTACGCAAAGGTGAGCAACACAGCGGCTCAATGCCTAATATACAGCGAACGACTGTTCATAATGATAACGAAGATCGCCCCCGTGTTGTAATAAAATACAACCGGCAGCCGTATCCTCCTGAAGGGAGACCATTGAGTGCAAGTATGGGGTCATTCAGGTTCCATAAAATACAAGGCGTGTCTGGTGAACTTGAGAAAGCACAATCTTCAAATGATATTCGAGAAGATGGATATGTCGTCAAAGAAACTGGATATGACACTGCCAAAGACAATGGTGATCAAGGAAATTGGACTAGCATTCACAGGGCAGACGTTTCTACAACAACGGGTCTGGAATCACCAAAAGGGAATCATGTCGATGCTTATTCTAAATCAGGAATCAACCAAAAATCTGTTTCAAATCCAAAGAGAGTCAGCAAACCCGCATCAAAGGTAGCTGTTGTTGTGGCTAAAAAGATCATGAACAAAAGGAAAACTGCTGCGCCACCTCTTCTCCGATTTGACAGCTATAAGGCAGATGATGACATTCAAATACCATCTGTCATTGCTTCTTACAAACGTTCGCCTGAAGTTGAGGGACTAACAAACGACACACAAGCATTTGGTCATCCTAACGGCCAATCAGAACAACCGTACGCAGAAGCCGATATATACAGACAGAAAGATATAAATTCTGAAATCAATTCAGTCGGTTTTTCTCCAAGAGAACTAGCTTTCGCACAAAAGCTCTCTCATGGGGAAAGAAAAACTATGACACCATCGAATATAGAAAAGGTGAGTTACCCTGATCTTGTTTCTTCAAACACAACACAAGATCACTCTGATTCTCGAGTGTCAAATTCACTAGGGACACCAATTAAATATTCTGAAAATCAACGAAAAAAAGCACTTCGTAAAAGTTTAAGTGGATCCGCTGCCTCGGATGATTTTCTTGAAATGGCAATGAGCGAGCGGAGGGTAGTTTTACCATCACGCTTCCAGGGAAGAAAGCAGAAAGTCGCGTCCTCTAGTCCTACTAGCCAAGCTAGTCAATATGGATCATCGTCTGATCCTAGACGTCGTCAGCAGCTGGAAAACAAACTTCATGGAAGTACCGACAGGAATAGAAACATGTTTCCATTTTCAAAAAGCACCGATTCTCCTCGCGTAATTCAAGCTTCAAAAAAGATTATGGTTAAAAGAGGTACACTGCATTCATCTCAGATAATAAATAGAAATGCTGATGTAGCTGATTCCTCTGGTGAACGCCCGGATGATGAACGGGTTGCACATTCAGGACATCCAATGTACCCACTCATCGGTGGAAGAACGTCTGGTGCGACATCTGTCGATCATGAACATGATTCTTTATTGCTTAATGATCAAGATACAGAACGAGAATACTATGAAATGGGAAAGTCGTCTGAACTATTAGACAGTGATGGAATGAGTTGTGGCTTTAGACAAGATTTATCTCATTTACAAAACATTCTCGACGAAATTGAGCCAACAAAGAATATGAGTGGGTCTACAACCTCGAGCACGTTTTTGAGCACTGCGATAAGTGAACGAAGAGCAATCTTTCCGTGTCGGCTAAGGAGCAAAGCCAACAACTCGACAACAGGTATCGGCCCTCCTGTACTTGCCTCCAAAAGAAGCACAACAGGTCTCCGCTATGTACGAGATAGCTCTGAAACGTCTATGCAAGATGGAAATAACAGTGTAATACCCACGGAGAGCTTTGAGAAAAACACTGGGGATGACCACTCTGGAATAAATATGGCCGCCGAAAGAACTGAAGTAAACATGATGGCAGATAGCTCACAGGGAAACATGACTGACGGTTATGAAGATCGACCTGATAGCAGTCATCTCCAACAAACAAAACGTGATGTGAATTCAGTAACTTCAGAGTATGCAGTGCAGCATTTTGAATCAAACAAATCACCAGAAGAAAAGATAAAGGCTGTCGCTAACAGGAATGTTCAGCTTCCTGTCCCAAAGCCCAGAGAAACACTTGTTCCGAGTAACTTTCCCGTTAACAAACATAGACTACCAACCGTCTATAACCCGCTGAGGGAGACGGTAGCCGCGACAATCAATGCCCCGACCACACCAAGACTAACAACGGCTACTCCACTTGTAACAGGTAAGACGTCCAAGTTTATATAAATATATAAAGAGGTAAGTGCATCTTTCTAGACGTTTGATTTCCCCCTTATAAAAGTATTTTATTACCGCCGGTATTTGGATACTTCATTTAAAATGAAAATGTTACTTATAGTTATATAATATAATAAGTTTAATCTGAAAATTGTGGCATGTCTTAGAACTCATTAGAATAATTTATAAAAGATATCACAATATGAACGAATTCTGATAAAGCAATGCTACTAAACTCTTTAACAGTACATGTATTTCATTATCTCTCACAGCTGTTAGGGAAGACTCAGTTGAGGGAAATGAGATAGTGAAACCCATTATCCGGAAGCCGGCGATGGAATCTATCCCAGCAGTGTCGAGGAAGATAAAGAACTTCCGGTCCAGACAGAAGATGGTGTTGACAGGGAGACTACATCAAAAGAGCGAGGAAAACTTGAAATTTTTTAAACAAATTTCAAAAACAACAGCCGATTTTTATAAGGATCGCACGAGAAATGTACAATAAAATTATTCTTTTGTTATATTGAATTTGTGTTCTGACAAACATACATCATAGACCCATACATTTCATATTAGGGGAGACCGGGGCAAGTTTGACCCATTTTTATTCGTTCTGGAAAGAATGGCATTTGTTGAAATTTATGGGCAATCAAGGCAGGTTTTGTAGAATTGTTTAACTTTTTTTTCTGTCGGAAGATTGGATGACCGAACGTGCCCCGCTTTTGGGAAAAGGCATGTTGGGGTAAGTTCTGCCTATGTTTGCCTATTATCAGCATAGTTATGCGTCATAAAGCATGCAACGTCATATTTTCCCGGGAATTTCACGAGTGTTGCACGGGCCTATCTGTCTTGGTATCAAGCCGAACCTGCCCCAAATATTGATATTTCAAAAATGTCATATATTACAGCAATACAAAAGTCAATATTAGACTTTGTCTGTATACTTTCACGTAGACATCAGTGTGGTACACGTACGACAATTCGGTTTACATAAAATTGGCAAAACTAGAAAGAAGTGACTGTCATGATTTTCTGGCTACCCCTTAAAGTAACTTTCTTCCAAGTAGTAATTTAAAAATTGGGGTTTCTCGCCATTTTTTCGTGTGAATGCCACGTCATCTGAACTGCTACTTTAAGATCCTCAAAGTTGTAAAAAAAAAATACCGGGGCCAGAAATATCAGGGATGGCCGCACTTGTCCCGGGGCCGTGACTTGCACCAGTCTCCCCTAGGTATGTAGAAATCCAAAATCGTCATCTGAGAACATTGCAATCTACTATTTTACACGTTAACGTCCTCCGAATACCATAACTGTGATAAACAGAAAAAGAAATCTCACAAAATAAGCGGATGCATTTCTGGATAAAAGTGTTGACTGTTAATAATGATGAAAGAGCAACGTACTTAGGTAGAACCTCAGTAAAGTTCAACAACATCATGCACTTACAATGATTTGTATCCAAGAATATAACTTACATTTACCTCATTATCTGATAAAATGATCCCTGTTGAAAATCCACCATTTGACGAGCAAAATTAATAAAAAGCATTTTTGCAGAAGAAATATCTTAACAATAATTGGTATTTTTTTCAGTTGTAAAAATGCAAGCTTTAACTGATCAGTTTTAATTTGACAAAAAAATCCGGTGTTCTCTCTGACTATTGTAAGCCTTTTTCATTCCTTTTCGGTAATGCAGCTGAAATTTCATGAATACTATTCGGTAAGTGCACTTTGTTTGAATAAAACTGTCTTTTTGAGCTATTCTGATGTTCTCGTAATTTAAACGTATTTTGACATTTGTTGATGACAGAGAAAGGAAAAGACGATCAAGATAAAGCACATTTTACTAACAATGGTTTGTTGTGCTATATGCAATCACTTTTGAGATGTCTCCTTATGCTATAATTTCCGTATTGTCGGAACCCGTAACAATGCGACTATTAGTTTTGTTTTTTTATTTTATTGACCAATCAGCATCTGTTATTCGTGTAACATCCGGAAAACCTCGTTTTGAAGTTTCATTAGCGGTAGCAACGAACATGGAAACGGGACAATCCGACCGTGGGTTACGGTCGGAAAAGTGTAATGACAATTAAGAAGAGGCGGAATAGGTTTTTGTTGTGTGGTAGTGGATGTAAGTATTCTTTTAAAATCCCACCTCATTGAATTTATATCATATAATTTGTATTACTGCGTTCTTGAACCTTCATTTGTTGCCATGTATCTGTTGTATCATTTTCATCTGCCATGTCTGCAAACAAATCATTATAAAATGCATTGGTTCATTACAGTTGACACCGTTGTAAGCGTCTGGTCGCTTTTTAAAGTTCTTCTTAATTCAGTCCACTACACTTCCGGTTGAATTTGGAGGCATTACAGAAGACATTATTTCTCAATAATAGTGAAATGTATGTACATGTGCAGTGGGTGGTAAAAGAAGTTGCATCCTAATTTCATTTAAAATATGGGTAGGCCTATTCAGTTATAAAAAGGACTAACAAGTCTGTATAAATCACAAGTCTCCAAAAAAGGGGTTATTTTACTATTAAGAGGTATAAACACATTGTGGTTAATTAGTTTCAAATCTGTCAATAAAACTATACTTGAAATTATACTGAAGTTATTAAAATGTTTCATTGGTTAAAAAATGCTTTTAAATTGGAATTAGGGAAGCCTATTTGTATTTCCCCAGCTAGTTAGTAGGAGCTTGGTTCAAACTTATTGGGGTGATTTTCCCATTGTTTGTTTCACCTGGTCTGAAAAGAAAACAGGGATGGGGCATTTACCACTTGATCAGAGAGATCATTCCAGTTATTTACCATTCTTAACTTGAACGAGTGGCCACGCAGATTACTTCTACACCTTAATTTTTCTAGTTTCTGGTTGTGACCTCTGGTTATTCTTGTTACATTGATTTTTAGAAAGTCATCTTTGATGTTGTCTATCCTATTTATTAACTTGAAAGCAGTAGGAAAGCTTGCACCATGTCTGACCTAAGTCTCCTGTACTCCATAGTGGGTAGCCCAAGAGCCTTAATTAAGTCTTTCAAGATAGGATAGGTCTTTGATACCAGGGACCAGTTTAGTGGCTCTCCTTTGGACATTTTCAATGGATATTTTATCCTTTATAAGCATGGGGGCCCAGACTACAACAGAGGTCTCTAGATATGGTCTTACAAGAGACTTATGTAGGAACATTGCCTTATTTACACCGCTAAAAGTCCTAAAAATCATTCCTTCATTTCTGTTTGCTTTGGCTACTAACAGATTTACATGTTCACTTAACTTTAGATTATTGTCTATAGTCACGCCTAGATCCCTTTCACTAGCAACAGATTGTAGTTTGTGTACTTCCCCCTGTTTGATGATGTTGTATGAAGTATCACATTTAACAGCTCCTTGATGTAATTTTAGATGCTTACACTTCTCAGAGTTTAGCTCCATCATCCATGTTCTTCAACTTCTTGTCAAGTTGTTTAAACGGTGTAGATCTTCTTGAAGATGTTGCCCCTGATCTCCTGGATCCATTGCACGATAGATCTTGGTATCATCTGCAAACATTTTGGTCAGAATATGAATGACCTAGGGAAGGTCGTTTACATAGATGAGAAATAAGACTGGCCCCAGCACACTACCCTGGGGGACTCCACTTATGACTTGGCATGTGCTTGATGCTCCATATCATTCAAGAAGTCTGTAATCCACCCCAATATGTCCCCGTTGATGCCATATCTCTTTATTTTATGCAATAGTCTCCTATGGGGTACTTTATCAAAGGCTTTTTTGTAATCCAAATAAATGACATCCACTTGCTTGCTTGTTAATGCATTATTACACAAATTCCTCCAAAAAAACCCTGATCACTACAATTGCACTCATGCCTATGAGTTCTGTCACAGTTATCAGAAGAAGAAGAGTTTCCTTTATATTGCTTACCTTGTAAAGTAATTGCCTGATATCAAAAGCCAGACTATCTCTAGATAAAGTAAACAAATGTCACCACTTCTCTACTCAGCTGTCTTATGACATAGAATGTCATAGATTATTGACTTATGGACCTTTTGCAGATTGTTTTATGTTGGGGCCATAGTTCACAACATCATCTTTAAATCAGTCTACATCAAAAAAATAAATAAATGTGACTCATTCATAAGTTATGGAAATTATTCTGATGAGTTTGTTTATTATAAAGGCTGACATGGTCCAAGGTTCTCATTGTGTCGAAAGTATTTGTTATGTTTGTTTGCATCATACCAATAGTTAATGCATACTGGTTGCCAGTCTGTTCTTGTCATGTGCACATTCTCACCATGACATATGATGAAACCTCAAATTCTTTCAATGCAAACTACAAAATCTGTGTTTGTCCCTGTAATTTTGTTTACATCAACAGTTCTGTGCGACATCCTTTACATTATAAGGTCCTACCTCCTGGCAACCAGCCCAGTAGATTATTAGCTGTGCTTTTCTAATTACAAAATTACAAAACTATCTTTTTCATACTTTTATTCTTTTAAACAGATTGCTATGACATGTACTTAGCTAAGTCACTAGAAAACAATACTTGAGAACAACTAATTCATAATGTATGTACATAACTGCTTATTTTCTAATTTAATTACCATTCCATTGCCCAAAACTCCTTTTTTGTTCTAATTTTAGCAAGTGGTACAGTATCACCAAGAAGTTCCCCTTCCAATTCTTCAAGTACAATCAGCACCAGTTCAGGATATGTTAGTCTAAGGTTGGGCTTTTCCACCAGACTAAAAATCTTCTTTCGTAGAATATTGTGTAAGTTACCTGGAGTATTTAATTGTTAAAATATAAATACACTCAAACTGGATTAAAAAACACTGTATATTAAGGTGTGTAAATTTTCATATTTTAGAATACTAGCCCTAGGCAGATTTTTAAGAAAAGTTCTATAAGCCTCCCCCAACCAATATTTTTGCAGTAAACTTTTAATCTGTCTTGAAATGCAGTAAATTTTTAATCTGTCTTGAAATAAAATGTTCTAGTCAGCCTCAGGCTTGTACTTTGGAATCATATACACCTGGTATAGAAAAGGCTTTACATCTTTTTCTGTTAACAATAAGTGTAATAGCCATGGCAGTTGTAGAGGTTTCAGGGACTTGCAAAATTTAATTATTGAAATCAAAGCAAAACCAATGTATATTTTTTTTCAAAAGTTAAATACCTGTAGATATCAGTCATCCAAATAAATTCTAGGAGGCACTAAATTTATGTTAACTTGGAATTACTTCAGGTAGAAACAACCAAATTTTTTATTTCTATTTATCAGCTCGTTTTCGTAGCAATAGAAGAAGAATTCATCCAAAGCGTCAATCTAGTATTTCTTTGATGGAAGATCACTCATTGTCTATCATCATGGAGTTACCTGAACACTCAGAATCTTCACTCGTTTCAGGAACACAGGTAACATCTACATCTTTGATGTTGATTTAGGTGCAGTTACAGTTTTATTTCTTGATAATTTACAAGGATTACACCAAGGATTCTGTAGCAGTTGACTTTATTGAGTTGACATATTTTGGATGGCTAGACCAACATAAGAACCATTGGAAAATTGATAACTTTTTAAAGTCTACAAACACGCAGTCTTTGGTGTTGAAGCTGCATCACTTACTAGCTTGTACTGGTATCAACCTCTGATTCTTACACCACCACTTCATGATAACCATTCATAGAACGTTTAAACTCCTCAGTCTTCACCCAATGAATGTGTTCATTTACCAATAGACTACATATATGTTCAGTAGCATGAATATGTGTACATTGTGTAATAGTAATGCCTTGCCATATGCTTAAAACATAATAGTTCTATGTATATAGGATTACATGGGTATCCATTTAATATGAGACTTATTAAACGAGTTTAAGATTTATTCAATTTAGCGAGCCTCTGGCGAGCTAAACTGAAAAATTTGTGATGAGTTTCATAAATTTCATGTGAAATGAAGACAAGTGTAAGATCCTTTTTATCACATAATCAAGATTTGTGACATTTATTCGTGTAAAACGACAAATTTCATACAACATTGAAATGTAAAAAGCTGCCATTTTGACTCCAGTGGGTAAGTCTGTGACATCATATACTTGTCCTAGGCGTGACATCACAATTGAAACAATTGAAACAAGTTTACAACCAATCATAGGGCTGATAGGTCATATTGCATGGGTTAATACGCAAAAAAATATAACATGGGTATATTCACTTGATAACACAGTACATTATGACATGGGTATATATTCACTTGATAACACAGTACATTATGACATGAGTGTATATTCACTTGATAACACAGTACATTATGTGATAAATAGATGTGCTGCATGATGGATTTCAGATAATTTTGTGTTATTTCACTTTATCAAATACTAAAGGAAAACAGAATTAAAAAAAAAAGTTTTTTAATTAAAAGAGAAAAAAAGAAAACTCTTACATAGGACATGTAATAAATTTATCCTGATATTTTTCCAGATAGCACCATCCCCACCACCTTTATCTTCTGGTGTACAGAATATGATCAACCAATTAAGTGGTAAGTGAGAGGCACTAGAATATTTCTATGTACCTATTTCTAAGTTGGATATAGACCTAATGCGTTCAATTTATCTCAAAAGCAATTTCAACCAATAGCATGAAAGAGAAGTGAATTTGAAATTTGATTGTTAGAGGTTCCACCAATACATGAATCATACAGTTCCTGTCCTATCAAATGTCTCTACCACTTATACCTTCACCTAACCAGTGATGCCCCCCCCCCCCCCCCCCCCAGTCCTTATTAGTCATAATCTCCTCTAAACCGTACTATTCATTTACCACTGACAATTAATCACCACTATCAATTTACCTACCACTCACAATCCACCCACCAATCACAAGTCACCTATCACTCACAATCCACCTTCCACTCACAATTTCATTCACAATCTCCCTTCCACTAACAATTTACCTATCACTCACAATCTACCTTCCACTCACAATTTACCTTCCACTCACAATCCACCTACCACTCACAAGTCAGCTATCACTAGCAATTTACCTATCACTCACAATCTGCCTTCCAATCACAATTTACCTATCCCTCAGAATCTCCCTTCCACTAACAATTTACCTATCACTCACAATTTACCTATCACACACAATCTACCTATCACTCACAAACTACCTTTCACTCACAATTTACCTTCCACTCACAATCCACCTACCACTCACAAGTCAGCTATCACTAGCAATTTACCTATCACTCACAATCTGCCTTCCAATCACAATTTACCTATCCCTCAGAATCTACCTTCCACTAACAATTTACCTATCACTCACAAACCACCCACCACTCACAATTTCAATCACAATCTACCTTACACTAGCAATTTACCTATCACTCACAATCTACCTTCCACTAACAATTAACCTATCACTCACAATCCCCCTTCCACTAACAACCCCCCTCCCACTAACAACCCCCCTCCCACTAACAACCCCCCTACCCCCCACAACCCCCCTTCCCCTAACAACCCCCCTACCCCCCACAACCCCCCTTCCCCTAACAACCCCCCTACCCCCCACAACCCCCCTTCCCCTAACAACCCCCCTACCACTCACAATCCACCCACCAATCACAAGTCACCTATCAATCAGAATCTACCTTCCACTAACATTTTACCTATCACTCACAATCCACCTTCCACTAACAATCCACCTACCACTCACAATCCGCCTACCGCTACCACTCACAATCCACATACTACTCATAATTTATCAACCAATCTAACAATTTACCTATCACTCACAATTTACCTATCACTCACAATTTACCTATCACTCACAATCCACCCACCACTTACAAGTCACCTATCACTAACAATTTACCTATCACTCACAATTTACCTATCACACACAATCTACCTATCACTCACAAACTACCTTTCACTCACAATTTACCTTCCACTCACAATCCACCTACCACTCACAAGTCAGCTATCACTAGCAATTTACCTATCACTCACAATCTGCCTTCCACTAACAATTTACCTATCACTCACAATCCACCCACCACTCACAATTTCAATCACAATCTACCTTCCACTAACAATTTACCTATCACTCACAATCTACCTTCCACTAACAATTAACCTATCACTCACAATTTACCTTCAACTAACAAAATACCAATCACTCAAAATTTACCTATCACTCACAATCCACCCACCCCTCCCAATTTCAATCACAATCTACCTTCCACTAACAATTTACCTATCACTCACAATCTACCTTCCACTCACAATTTACCTTCCACTCACAATCCACCTACCACTCAAAGTCACCTATCAACTATCAATCAGAATCTACCTTCCACTAACATTTTACCTATCACTCACAATCCACCTACCACTTACAATTTACCTATCACTCACAATCCACCCACCACTCACAAGTCACCTATCACTAACAATTTACCTATCACTCACAATTTACCTATCACTCACAGTCTACCTTCCACTCACAATTTACCTATCACTCAGAATCTACCTTCCACTAACAATTTACTTATCACTCACAATCCACCTACCACTAACAATTTACCTATCACTCACAATCTACCTTCCACTAACAATTTACCTATCACTCATAATCCACCTACCACTAATAATCCACCCAACATTCACATGGAGTCACAAGTCACCTATCATTAACAATCCACCTTCCACTCACAATTTATCTAACACTCACAATCTACCTTCCACTAACAATTTACCTACCACTCATAATCCACCTACCACTCAATCCACCTACCACTCACAATCCGCCTACCGCTACCACTCACAATCCACAAACTACTCATAATTTATCAACCATTCACAATCAACCTTCCAATCACAAACCACCTTAACAATCACAATCCACCATACCACTCACAACCCATCTTACCACTCACAATCCACCTACTACTTTATCTTCNCTCACAATCCACCTTCCACTCACAATTTCACTCACAATCTACCTTCTACTAACAATTTACCTATCACTAACAATCTACCTTCCACTAACAATTTACCTATCACTCACAATTTACCTTCCACTAACAATTTACCTATCACTCACAATTAACCTTCCACTAACAATTTACCTATCACTCACAATTTACCTATCACTCACAATCCACCCACCCCTCACAAGTCACCTATCACTAACAATTTACCTATCACTCACAATTTACCTATCACTCACAATCTACCTTTCACTCACAATTTACCTTCAACTCACAATCCACCTACCACTCAAAAGTCACCTATCACTAGCAATTACCTATCACTCACAATCTACCTTCCACTCACAATTTATCTATCACTCAGAATCTACCTACCACTAACAATTTACCTATCACTCACAATCTACCTTCCAATCACAATCCACCCACCACTAATAATCCACCCACCACTCACATGGAATCACAAGTCACCTATCATTAACAATCCACCTTCCACTCACAATTTATCTATCACTCACAATCTACCTTCCACTAACAATTTACCTATCACTCACAATTCACCTACTGCTCATCATCCACCTACCACTCAATCCACCTACCACTCACAATCCACATACCTCTCACAATCCACCTACCATTACCACTCACAGTCTACATACTACTCACAATTTATCTACCATTCACAATCCACCTACCAATCACAAACCACCTCCACCTTACCACTCACAACCCATCTTACCACTCACAATCCACCTTACCACTCACAACCCATCTTACCACTCACAATCCACCTACTACTTAATCTTAACCTACAACTAAAATTTCCTTTCCCCTATGCAATTTCTTACCACTTATATTTTGTCGGCATTCAGAATTTTTTATTATCCACCTTTTCCATACTACCAAAGCTTAACCGTATATTCTAGTACGATTCATAACTACTCACTCATTTCAATCCTTCTATATATATTCCAAAATCCTATCACCAATTGTGAAACCCAAACATCTTACTAACTCAAAATCCTCTCCTATTGAGTACTAGCAAAACTATTACAGTATTGCTGTAATTGTGTTTGAAAAGTTTTCAGGTATTGTTTTGTCTTTCTGTAGAAAAACAACCAATGAGCTGTTCTTCTAGAGGTAGCGTTCAGTCATTGTGGTCTGAAAATGAGAACGTGTCACCAACGGCTGCAGATTTGTCTCCACAACCTCCCTCCATTAGCAACATGTTTGATGTAGCCAACCTGTCTCCTGAAGCCCTGGAGAAAACCCTTGTTAACCAGCAGGTAGTGATTCCTTCAGTCCATCAACAAACTGACAAACATGAATCAGTGATGTTACCAGCACAGTGATAGCTTTTTTTAAGTGTAATATCTTGGATGCAAGCTGTCATTTTTTCTTGCACTTCTGGCAGAATTATCCCACTTGATACTCCATGCTAGGTATTTCAATCTCCTTGATATGTTTATCACTTTTATGGGTAATTTCACTTATGGACAACCAGCAATGATAAATCAAAAGGATGTACAAGTATTTAGAATATTCAATTAGGTCTTTAAATTATTGTTTTGCTGTTTTCTGATTCACAATACCTCATATATTAAATCATTTACACTGTGACATGTTTGTTTAGCTCCCCTGGCTGGAAGGGGCTACCAAGTTAGTTAAAATGAATTACTTTAACCCACTTTGAAGGTCACAGGGGTCAGATGTGTTAAAATATAGAAACAACTTCTTCTGAATAACCCAAAGGCCCAGGATTGTGTAATTTTGCCAGTAGCCTGCAGTGGTGAAGGGCTACCAAGTTTGTTCAAATGATGTTGACCAACTTTCATGGTCACTGGGGTCAAATGTTTTTAAAGACTTTAAACAGTTTTATTCACAATTACCAAAAGACCCAGGATGATGATATTTGTCCAGTAGCGTGTTCAGATGAAGGGCTACCAAGCTTGTTCAACTCAATGATTGTTACCTACTCTCAAGGTCACGAGGATCAAATATATCTATCCATAACAAAATCTCTGAAATTTGGATCATATCATTCTGGGATGAAGGGCTTCCAAGTTTCTTCAAATGAATGACGTTGATCCACTTTTAAGGTATTCCATGTATAATGCATATTTTTTGGAAGTGAAAAAAAATACACACATGCCAGTGAAGTAGTTCCCAAATTTTTATGAACTTTTACTGCATATTTTTCCTGTTTTGATGCATTTTATAAGTACGCTCCACTGGGGCCGCTTTCTGTTCAAAGTCCAATAAAATAACGAAAACCTTCTATATGCAGATAGTTATGATTTTGTTCACTTTTTGCAAACCATTTACTTTTATACACCGACAAATTGGTTAAACATTGTAGATTACAAATTTTCTATGGAAAAAAAAACTTTTTCCAGAAATACAAAAAAAATAAAATTGCATTTATGTATATTCAATATTGCCATGAAATTCAAATTTATGTACTCCATTTTTAATGGTACATAGTGAAAAAAATATATATTTGTACAACAAATTATATCAGATATAGATGAAAAAACATTTTTATTTTCTTGCAAAATCTCTTTACAATGCAAAAAACGTAATAAATCAAAGTTTTATCGTCTGAATTTTGAAAAAAATGTAAAGTTACACCCCCTTCCAATCCCTTGACAGTAATTTTGACGAGATTTTCTAAAAACGGCCGCGTAAATAACGAACAGTCGCCATTTATTTACAATCCAGGTTTCCCCAGCGGGCGGTAACTCGTACCGAAAATGATGTCATGATTAGGGGGAATTCCGACATTACGAAGTTTCCAGATGTTAGCCGATGTTAACTGATTTCATTATACATGGAATACCTTAAAGTCACATGGATCAAATGTGTTGAATTTTTTTTAAATAATTGCCTCTTAATTACTATAGGACCAAGGTTGATGATGTTTGGCCAGTAGCTCAATTTAGACGATATATATACATCAACCTTGGTCAACTAATAGTGTGTAAGGTTATTATTGTGAGATTAATACCAGGTGAACGGTACAGACCCATAGGCCTCTTGTTATTATTTGGCACAGAACACATTGTTTATACAAAAACAATAAGCAAATAATGTTACTTGATAGTAATGTAGAGTCGTATTAATTCAAGGCTCAAAACAGAATGTTTTTGAACCATTGTGAAATGAAATCTTTTTAAGCTAAGGAGGTGTAGGAAGGGAATCAGTGACCTATAATCTGGTTATCTGGCTAAGATTCTCTAACAGTACAACCTCAGTTGGGATTCTGTAACAAAATCTTAGTCTTCAATTGAGATAACTAGATCTTGCTTTGTTACAGGAAATAGATTTTATATGTATCTCTTTTTTAAATTAGATCATTAATCATGTGAAGATTTTCACCCGATACCCACTCTGAATACAGATACATTGTATTGCATGAATTCATGTGACCAACCCAATGCAAACAATTTAATACAAAGTCCAGTTACCAACATGTATTGCAGAATCATGACCTTTGGAAATGTGTAACTTAGTCTGAAACCTTGTTAGTCAGATCCTTGTCATTCAGGAACTTTGTCAGTCAGGAATCTTATTAGTCAGTAACTTTGTTAGTGAGGAACCTTGTTTGTCAGGAACCTTGTTTGTCAGGAACCTTGTTTACTAAGACCTTTCTGAGTCAGGAACATTGATATCCAACAACCAAGTGTTATCAAGGCATCCTTTTAGTAAGGAACATTTTTAGCAAGGACTTTGTTAGTCAGCAACTTTGTAAACCAGTAATTTTATCAGTCAGGNTGACCTTTGGAAACGTGTAACTTAGTCTGAAACCTTGTTAGTCAGATCCTTGTCATTCAGGAACTTTGTCAGTCAGGAATCTTATTAGTCAGTAACTTTGTTAGTGAGGAACCTTGTTTGTCAGGAACCTTGTTTGTCAGGAACCTTGTTTACTAAGACCTTTCTGAGTCAGGAACATTGATATCCAACAACCAAGTGTTATCAAGGCATCCTGTTAGTTGGGAACATTTTTAAGCCAGACATCATGTTAGCCATTGATATTGTTTGCCAGGGATGTTGTTTGTTGTTAATCAGAACTTTTGTTATTCAGACACTTTATTAGAGTACAATAAGTGAACCGTTCTGCTGATCAGGTCAGCAACAGGTATGCAAAATAACGTGAGGAAACATGGTTACATCTCCTGTGAGCCCTTTATGTTATAAATGTGAGCAGATTTGGTAGAGACGCGAGTCTGATTTGCGTAATTCACATTATATTTAAGAATAATTAGTTTTGTTGTCAATGCTAACAGATTAACCCATATGATGAACATAAAGAAGCAAGTTCAGAAAGCATGGAGGTCAACAAAGCCTACTGTAGGAATGAAAGTGAGTATACATGTTAGGTTCAGTGAATCTTGTATCAAAGGCCAAATAAGGAAAAGGCAAATATGCTTGCTAGCTGATAAGGAGAGAAATTTGTTTTTATTTACAAAAATAAATCTTTGGTTTTGATTTTAAATGTTGAAGAGATGGGAAGTCCTATACATGAAAAAAAGAAAAATGTTTAGAAAAATTCTAAGATTTCTCCTAAAAGGAAAGAACTTGTCTCTCATAAAGGTCACAGTGTAAGATCATAAAATAGGACAAAAATTGAAGAATCGGTTGGAGCATTGAAGGAATTTTAGTTGCAAAGTCCATTATTTTAAGATGGAAAGAAAGTAACTTTTACTCGTATTTTGAACTGATGAATTTTTCCAGATGCAAAACAACGAGAAAAACCTATGAGTCTGATATCCTCAACAGCATCCTGTGAATTACCTGGTGCTATGGGTACTGTGGTGGAGAAAACAAATTGCTGCACGACCACAGTGAAGATGGAGAACAGGACAGAAAGCAAATCTGTCCAATTCCAAAACAATGTCATAGTGTATCCAAGTCCTTCTGGTGTAGTGGACACTAACTCAAGCAGTGGACAGATGACAGTGGAATGTCTGTCTGACCTCCGGTCAGAGGGACTCCGCGTAGGCGAGGACTGTAAGGCTAGGAGACCAGCCACACCTGGCAAACTTCTCAATGAAGGGGAGACAACTGCCTCCCAACCCCTGACGCCTGCACCTATGAATGAAGGAAAGAAAACAGTCTCTCCACCTCAGACATCCACATATGTGACTGTGAAAGATCCAGATTACACCCCTCGTACTCCACGGAACACTGTAAAACCAGAGAGTGACAAAGGAAAGACTAACACATCTTTACCTCAATGTACAGCTAGTAGCCAACAGACCAAGACACTGATTGAAGAGTCTAAAGGAGATCTCTATGTTAAAGAAGTTGGAAATAGTTCTACCTTGGACAATGACATTCCCCCAGAAGAAGTGTGTGCCAAGCGCTCGTGGAGTAGATTAGATCTTTCAACTTATCCAACAAACGATGACTGCTTCAGAACAAGTGAGAAAGTTTTGTCTGGCGAGGAAAGAAATGAGAAAGTAAGGAAGAATATGTCTGACGTCAATGTTGTTGATACTGACAGGCAGGAATTAGAGGAGAAAGCTAGGCGACGAGCAGACAGGAAGAAAAGAAAAGAAATGAGAATGGCTGCTGAAGGTTACATAAAAGAACAAGAAAACCTACCTCAGGAGGAGAAACGTAAATTAAAAAAAAAGGCAAAAAAGAAAAACATTCAAAAGAAAACAGCAATAAATAGTGAAGAGCCAGCCGGCCAAAAGGAATACAGACACCAGAGAGTAATGAGATTGGAGGCAGAGAGAGACACAACAAATCTCAATGGACAGGAAGGTAGCGATGGTACTGTCACATTTGAAGATAAACTACTACACTGGGAAAAAATGAAAACAACAGGAGACAATCGCTCACTTGATGGTCAGGAGGAAACAAACAAACCTGCTAGGAAAACGAGAACAAAAAAGAAGAAAAACAGAGAACTACCAGCAGCTGGAGATGAGGGTATGGGTACTGAGAAAGCAAAGAGGAAAGAAAGGACACACATGGAGCATGACGTGAATAAAGAAGATATCCTAGGGTCTGGAGAAGAGACTGGTGAGTGCATAGAGCCTATAGAACATGCAATGCATCCACACAAAAAGCCACATAAATACAACGAAAGCAGATATAGAGAAGACACTGTTTTAAAGCACAGCAGTGATGATGAGATACACACTTATCATGTAGACCATTCAAAGATTTATTGTGAAGACAATTCCAAGATTGGACAGGCAGATTCAAACTTTCTAGATGAAATTGGTAAGGAGAAGCTCTCTCAAGAGGAACGAAGAAAAAAACAGACCAAAAGGAAAAAAATGAAAGAGGCCATAGCAGCAGGAAATGAACACTCGAATGACATGAGGAAGGAATATCCAGATGACCAGGTTATCACTCAGATGAGCAGAGAAGACAATGATTACCAGAGGGAACATGTTACTGATCAAGACAAAATTGAGGGGATGCAGCAGGAAATTGCAGAAATCTTAGGTCTGTCATCAAATTCAGACCAGGCACAAAGAATTAAACATAGACGAGGAATGGTCAACAAAGATACCAATCACATTTTCAAGGATGAGCAAGGATGTGAAAACAGTGGAAACCAAAAGTCTGAAGATTTCGAAGCACTTAGATATGAAAGGGACTCAGCTATTGGTTTCCAAAATGAGAAAGGTAATGCCAAATCAAAAAGTAAACTCATGAATTTTACATGTGGGGAAAGAATCCAGCAACAGAAGTCCAGACAAAAGAGAAAAGTCAAAAACTTAAATGACGATCAATTATCCAGTGCAGTTTTTACTTCAGAAAATCCTATCATCCATGATGGATACCCTGTAATTACAGATTCTGTCTCTCCTCAAACGGTGATGAATGAGGATGTTTTAGATGTAAATCCCATCCCTTTGACATCCAGTTATGAAAGTAACGCTCCTGTTCAAAGTGAATCAAATAAGAAGTATGTTCATGCAGGAGTGGGACCAACACATTCTGAAGATGTTTCACAGAAAGCTGTTCATGTGGCCAAAACCAAACCTGTGACTGTTGCTAGTGGAGAAAGACGTAGAAAGTCTTCAAACAAAAACAGGGACAACCGAGACAATTCTACAACTGATGAAGTGAGCTCTACATATGTTAAAGGGCACAAACAGTCCCCTGGTGGTCAACACATTGGTCAGCAGTACTCTGTTGACCACCAACATGTCTCTTTATATCCAGAGGAAGAAGAAGATGACCACACAGTCAACTTCCACAAAGATCTTTCGTCCCAAGTTTCGACATGGGCACCTGGAAACCAACCCAGGATGCAGGACAGGGTACAAACTGCAGAAAATTACTTGCTGATGGCAAAACAGGACAGTTCATTGGAAACACCAGGCATTGGTGGAAACAGAAAGGGACATTTTAATGAAGAAGATAGGGTCACCCACAGTTCATCAACATATCCAAGGGAGAGAGATGCCTCAAACCACATCAACATTACCACCAGAGATGGTGACCTTCTACCTACAGCGCCTACTTCACCAGAAAGTGACGAGGATAGACAGCGCGAACAAGTGTCAAGTCATCAGGATGTAAAGGATCACTATCTGTCAATCACAGAACTAGATCGTCCAAGGCCGGTCGGATGTGATGTGGATATAGATCTGGGTCGAGAGATGAAGCCTGGATTAGAATCGGCTGTCAGGAGGATGAACCAATTGGGGTGAGTAGACCATCACATGGTCTACATAAACGTAACTAGGTCAAGAAAAAAATACAAATCTTTTGAAAGTTATGACACAGGTCTGAGAAGTTTCTATTGTAGTGCACCTCTGGGTAGCTAAAATGAAAAACTTGTGACAAGCTTCAGAAATTTCATATAAAATATTCATATTAAACTTAAATGAGCCCAAGAAATAGGTTCATAGTTCACTATTAAACATTTATTATTATTCAATATTCATAAGAAGTTATTTTCCAGGTATAGTTTTTGCGGTAGTTTAAATTTCACCTTCTATAATAAGGGAAAATTTATCATGTGAGGGCAAATATTAGTACACACCATACATTGCATAGTCATTACATTAGAAGAATGAAAATAACACAGGGCAAATATCAATTTTACCGGTGCAGGGTAAAAGTTTGACTAGGTGAAAGTTTCCCAGTATGACATGTTTTATGTAGGAATTTGTAATAAGTGTACAAGCATATTTTGAAACATGTTTACTTTATCTGTATACATTTTGTTGAAGAACCTACAGTGGCAGTATTAGTCGGCCGGAGTCTAGATCCCTGTGGAGTACTTCCACCATGAGTATCCCCCACTCCATCCAGGAAGAGGATGAGACAGAGGAGTCGGAGGATCAGACAGGACAAGATCCTAGTGATGAGGATAGAGGAGAAGAGATATCCTACACAGATACAGGACAAGAAAACCATATCAAGTATCCAGCACCGGGTCCCAGGGAGGAGCTGGCTCCAAACGTGTTTAAGGTAACTTAGTCAGATCCAGGGTGCGTTAAAAAGGAGTCAAGTACAGACATTCTTGTGGTGTGTGTTTCATAAAATTATTAGCTGATTAGCGTTGAAAAGATTTAAGCATGTCCTATAAAAAGTGAACAGGAACAGCCCAACCTTTAAATGATACATCTCGATAACCATCTACAGCATGTCATCTGCAATTAATGTAACTGTATTGAGAAAAAGCAAGGTTTAAAAATGGATGGCATGTATTTAACAATGCTATGTTCTTGAAGCATTTTACCAATAAGATGATGGATCGCTGACTATTCCATTAATAGTAAGTATGGTTGACAGGTGGATAAGATGAACCTGCCACCGGTATGTGTGGTACAGAAGGAGGATGTAACTAAATCAGCTAGTGTGAGAAAACCCGGGCACAGCACTATTCAGACAGGTAAACATGGAAATCTTTAGTACTGTAACTAGTGTTAGGTCTGCTGAACAATAACCACTAGGGTAAGATTGGAGATTCTGTTTTCAATGAAACTTTTCCCAAGTGAATTATTCCCCTTTGCTTGTTTGACATGTTTGTCGAGTGCTTACTTCAGGCTTCACTGTAAAAATACTAGTTAATATTATAAATTCATAAAAAAAGCTTCATTATTGAGATCAAACACTGCTGAATGGGGCTAATGAAAGCATTTCCCTGTATAATATGGTATGCTGCTGTCTTCATTATGACTAATGGTGCTCATTGTCAGATAAAATGATGAACTATGTCCTGATTTCAGGTAAAGAACAGGACAGTCGTACAGAGGACATCAGACCTGTAAGTAAGCAGGTCAGAGTTGATGACATACAAAGCAGATTATCTCCTGAACTGGAGACCTTTCTCGCTCAGTACAGTGATCTTAAATCTGACGTGGAAGCGAGCTTGATCCCAGATCAGACCTGGGAAGAGATTACTAAACCCATAGGTCAATTCAGACCCAAGGCAAGATACTCTGCTGACAAACCTCAGGGAATACAGGGTCAGAAACTACATATCACAGAAGGGAATGATGAGCCGAGTATAGCTAATCCAACTCCTACAATGCTGCCTGCTCATTTGAATAGAAAACAGAGAGCACATTATGAGAAACTCCAAGTGACTTTCCGTGCCCCAGAAAAGAATCTTCCAGGAGCCCAGTTTTGGAAAGATTTAAATGCAGATAAGTTGGTATCAGAAGCTGTTTCACAGGATCTGTTCATCAAGACACCATTCGGTCATACCTTCCCAAACGAATGTGAGAATCAACAGATGTCTCCTATCAAAGCTTATCTTGATGACTATTCTCATCAGAGTGATGCTGCATTAGATGAGACAGGGTATGAAAGTATGGAGCAGTTGGAGAACTATGACAACAGTCCAGAGTCATTGTCTGACCTGAGGAACAAGCTGAGTAAGATTTGCAGTGAGGAGGTCGAGTCAGACCCAGCTCCACGTCCACCGTCTCCACCTGGTGGAACGGACATGATTGAAGTATCCACAGATCCTAGATTCTGGAAATCACATGACTCATCAGGCAGGGATTCGTCTCGATTGTCTGCTGAAGTTTTATCAAGAATTGAGAATTGTGCAGGTCAGAATGTCGACATGTTACAGTTTGCTGATGAAAACAGTAGCTACGAAGATGAACAATTTCATGAAGATTACAAAGAGCCCTCCTATGCACCAAGCCTAATAGATCGCTATCACTCAAAAAATGAAGAAAATATTGACTTCTTCAGATGTGTTTCTAGAGGAGGTCTGAACAATATACAATCACTGAGGACAGAAGAGGAGAATATTGCTAGATCCTTTGCTAGAACAGACTCTAGGGAACACACAGTTGATGATGAAACAGTCGATGCCAACTTACTCTTTTTCAAAACAGTAGCAAGATATCCCGAGTTTAATGAGCAGGAGATTGAGACCACTGACTCTAAGGTTGTCAAGTCGAGATGTGGCAGGAGGAGTCCGGGGTTCATTCCTGATGATCCCAGCAACTACATCAGTGGAGAAGTAGCTCACCAAAACTTAGAATTCTTCCGAGCTGTAGCCAGAGACACCAGCTTCTTCAAGTTACCTGACAAGGAGGACCAGGACAGTGAGGACAATTCTGATGAAGATTCTACACCACCAAGAAATAAGCTTGAAGCTGATTCTTCCCTACAGAACGACACAACTAGCTGTCACAAAGACAGGTCTCATCACCATACCAAAATGCCTAGTCAGAAACCAGCTTCCAAAATATTGAATCGCTTTCAACGCAAGACATTAGCACAAGATCATTTGGACAGTCAAAAGACGGGTCCTCCTCATCTGTCTAAGTTGTACTCCAAAAGGACTGATGGCCTCAGTCTCTTACAACCAGTGGTGTCTCCCTGCAAAGCCAAGGAAAACATGGACTTCTTTTTACAAGTCTCTAAGGATCCTCATTTCTATAAGATTGCAGAAAAACCAGAAGTACCAGTAATGGTAGCTCCGAATAATAAACCAAAGTCATACAAAGGCATCAATGTCAACAGTGGGCGACCCATAGGCAAGAAGGGACTAGGCTTCAAGTCACGACTTACCTAGGGCTTCAAGTCACGACTTACCTAGGGCTTCAAGTCACGACTTACCTAGGGCTTCAAGTCACAACTTACCTTGGGCATCAAGTCACCACTTGCCTAGGCAGTTAACAGCAACAAAAACAGCTTAGAAATATAGGAGAGTAAAATTAGTTATACTTGACACAAAATCACATGGTCATCTTTCTTAGGGTTATCTAGATGTGTTACACCTTTGAACCTGCGTTGTCTTTTTAATGACTCGGATGTCCCATGTTGGCCACAGAACTTATTCAAGATTTTATCTCGTTATTATACACTATATACTTTACAGAATTTTCATACAGGTCTATTCTATACAATAGATTTTTACACTTGTTTATAGATTATATTAAACTTATTTACAAATCTTAATACTTTCTGATTGTTTTTATTTTCAACAGCTTTACTGCTTTATTAATCTACCTTGATACCTGACAAGTTCAAGAAATATAGTAACTTTATAACAACAACTCAAAAAATGTGTTTGTATTTGTGATAGGAGGAGGGCCCTTTTTATAAGAATACTGCAAGGTCAGAACAATATATGCCATTAACATGCCATGTAACATCTATTTAGACACATCGTTCAACAAAGTGTTGTACTTAAATCCTTCTGATACAATCTTGTAACAAAATATATCAAAACATTGAAATTTAGCAAATTACATTTATACTATAAAACTCGGGAAAGTTGTATGTTTCTAGAGTTTGTTTAACTACATGAACTTTACTTCACTGGGCAAGGGAATACTAACTTTGTTTCGTGAGGCACTCTACCCAATTCAGTATGGGGCATTGTCTTGAGACATTGAAGAATAACATGTTTGGTGAATGTAAGTGAAATGGCAAGGAAGTTATGAACCAAATTTTATATAAATTGAGAAAAGAGCATAACTCTGCTAAATGAAAGTTCCCTTCCAAAATGCTAACATATAGCTCATTTGTACATTTAAAGGCAGGAGAGTGACGACAAGGAAAGCTGGACAAGTGTGTTGAATACCATGGTTGACAGGAGTATGAAGTAAACTTTGGTTAGGTGCACTTCGACCTCAATGTTTCAGTCAGATATTTATATTCATTGGTTCTGTATGCTAGAATGTCTTTTGTTTTGAATTTGATCATTTTTTCTCGAAAACAATGTACAACAGACTTTTTGGCAAACCTTTGAATTATTTTAAAGCATCTAAAGCGTTTACACATCTTTAAAGTTTTATACATGTATACGTATTAACTTTTCATTTTATTTTAGTATAAAAGGGCCTGTTTTCTCAGTGACCTACTTGATTTTGACCTGGCAGTGAGATCAGCTTGCCAATAGTCAGTCTGAATACCTATCAATGTAATGGTGCTCCATTCATCAAGACTCAACCTCATACTCCACGTGTCGGAAAACTACTAAAAACTAGNTCCAAACCAATGTGCTACGTAACACCTGTGACCTTCATGTTAAGTGTGGTAAACAACACCACACACCTTGTCCAAGNGGGCCCATATATGGTCCTCGACCTATTTGTTTGACCAGTACATGTGACCTTGGTCTCTCCGGTTGAATTTTGACCTCTAGATGTAACCAGTCATGTCTTGAAATTAATTTTGCTGTAATTTAATTTGGACATTAGCCAGAACTTTGAAATACTTAACCTCTAGATCTGAACTTCACCTTAGTTCAACACTTAAACCTTCACAGGTTAACCTTGGCAATCCAAACAAATGTGTGTCCTTCATGTTAAGTGTGGTAAACAACACCACACACCTTGTCCAAACAAATGTGCTACGAAACACCTGTGACCTTCATGTTAAGTGTGGTACACAACACCACACACCTTGTCCAAACAAATGTGCTACGTAACACCTGTGACCTTCATGTTAAGTGTGGTACACAACACCACACACCTTGTCCAAACAAATGTGCTACGTAACACCT